CCTTTCTTAACAGAGACACTCTGCTCGCTAAATATTCTAAGAGCAAGACATTCTCAGTTCCTTGGTTACCGGGAAGTGGACTAAAAACTGAGCATGATAAGGACCTCATGCAGCTACTCAAGATGACCAGACGCTTTGAAGAAATGATGAAAAAGAGACACACGGACGCCAACAACCCAGATGTGCAGCAGACTCTTACATACAGTACCTACAATTATGTTGACTTAAGGACTCTCGTCGCTATTCTGGTATATATCTTCGGCACCGTCGTCTTCCTCTTTGTGTGTGTTTATAGTCCCGGGAAGAAGCTGGTGGATCTTGTGAGGAGGAGACGCTTACCCAGGTCACCAGAGTCACACTGTGCCATTACGTCAGTCACCGAGAGCCTGCAGCAGCAGCAAGAAGACGCTCCTCCAGCCTATGATGATGTCTGTCGAGATACTCCACCGCCGCCCTTCTCTGAGGTCCACAATATGCAGCTGCTCCAACTGGCTCCAACCGGCTCCAACTCACTACATCTAAATACCCAAGGAATCTCCACAGTTGGACTTGATAACTGTCGAGATGACCAGCCCAAACTCTACTTCAGCTTAGATGGTGTCCATGCCTTATTGTAGTTTTGTCAGTGTTAACAACACATTCCTTCAGCGTACTAACCTTGTCTTTGGTGATAAGGCTCTCTACTAAAGCGAAGCCTTATGGCGCTCCGGGAACATCTTGCAACTCTGCCCAAGTGGGAAGCCTCACCACCCCCACCAAGCTATGCCACGCCATCTCATAATGGCTTCGCTATAACCACTACAGATCGTATTCGAAGAGTTTCAAGACCGAATTAGAGGAAAAAGGGAGTTGTGGCAGCTGCTACTGAAACGTGGTTCCAGCCACCAGGCCAGCCACCTTGTACAATTTTATAGGATTCAATATGTTCAGTGTTGACCGTCCCCCTGGTGGTGGTGGTGTGGGACACAACACTACACTATAACAAATCGGTGTTTCTGAGGAACTGTAGTGTTTATTGATATACAGTGCACTAAAATATCCCAATATAAAAGGATATTTATCTATGTAGTCTGTTACCCACCTTGTGAATCACCTGATTAATAACAGCCGATGCTTTACGTAGCCGCTACAACGAACCATCATTATGGAAGACTTAACGACTTTACCAACGATCAGGTGTGTACTCACCTGGCTCTAACATGCACCGTAAATCTACCAACACATGATGGCGCCACAGATGTCTAAGATGAAGTCACTAAAGGTAAACCGCTATGTGTCGTCTCTCTACCTTGCAGTATTATCTCACCGCCTCATAAACTACTCACTAAGCTTAACCAGTTTAAGCTTCCCGATACTACCCTTCGCCCAGTGGCTGGTGGATGAAGCATGAGGATGAGGGTTGTTGTGCGAGGGATGCCTTCAGATGATCAGTCAGAGGGGATGCTGGTCATATTAAGATGTTGTAACAGACAGACAACTTACATGAGAAGCAACAAGGACAGATATAAGGATCTACAGGAGGTAAAGAACGTCACTACGGCTTCACAATGTCACCTCTGGTAAGAAAACATCCACTTTGAGAGTGTCATTACTAGACTGTAGTGAACACCAGAAACCATCACTATTAACTCATCACTACTGACTCAAACAACACATCTATCACCAACTCAACAAAAGTTCATTATAGTTGACAAAATCTCCCCGTTTGAAAATTATGAAAAAGTTCGTCTTTGATATTAATCGTTTTATTACACATGTTTTTGATGATTCCTTAACCTTTGGTATTTTCTCTTGTATATAGAAGGTCTACCATAACACCGTTGACGACAGTACTTGTAGTAACGGTACCTGCACCTGGGTTTACTCCGTCCAGTCTCACTTAACCCCAGACTCCGGTACACTATATAGGAAGGAACTGTAGTTGGCTGAGCGTTTGATGACATCGAACTATATCGTGATACCTTCCACTATTGCAACTTGAGAGGAGTTTCAACAGTACACTGCCTTGAATAAATTTTAGATCAGTTGTGTAGAAATAGTGACGCCAGTGACTTTGGTGTTGTGGTGCGTTTGATAGGTTATGAAAAGGCGTTCTGTTACGTGGTCCAAACTACTGTACTGCCCTCCAGGAACTGCTCCAGCTGGGAAGTCGTCCATCATGACAAAACTTGCTCTCAGGTCGCCACCATGGGGTCAGATATCAAACTAAAATACTTATATTCTTGGCTTTGGTAAATGTTCTTTCTGTAAATGCGTAAATTTCCGTAGAGTTTGTAGATCTAACTATTGGTGCTGGTACAGAACTTGGTATGAGTGTTCAAGATGACTTTGTTCAACTGGAAGAAAAACAAAACCAATGAACATAATCCCAAACCTGAAGATATGAGAAGTTTCGTTCATCTGCCCACCGAGAGGAGATTATTGGTTGACATATTGACCCTGTGTAGTGCCCCTCTTGCTGCTCTTGACCACTTCAAGTTTTTTAGGGATCCATAACAACTTAGCACTTGAATGGTGTTATCATGTTAATCAATGTTCATTATCTACTGCAGTATAGAGTTTGGGTGTTCAAGTGTACGGTATATTAATTTATCATCAGGGCACACAGCTCCTGTACGGTCTTAAACATAAACAAAATAGAACATAAGAAAAAGTACAAAAACATGTTTGTATATTTATTCTAGAAAATGATTACACAGGTTACCAGAATGCCTTAAAAGCCTTGAATTTACTAACACTCCACCATCGACGATAAGACCTGTGCCTTAGGTTTGGTCATCACCCATACCTCTGCCACCCTCCACAAACTCCACTAATTGACGTAACTCACACACCACACACAAGGTTCTGGACGGATCCTGACTACACAAGCCAACAACCATTTATATAACGTGTGTATTTAATGAAGTATAGTGAATGGGTTCATTTTGTCTCTCACCATCATATCCAAAAGTTATCTTACTCAGTTGTTCCTCTGATATATCTCCATTGTAAGTGATCATAAAGTGTCGTATGTGATAACTGTAACTGCTAATATATTGTAATCCATTATCGCCTTGCACAATGTGATGTGAGCTTCCAGTTCTCTGTGTATACAATAGTCATTAATAAATCTTCTTTATGACAAATTATCATTATTATCACTACCATTACCACTAGTGACCAGACAATCCTAGTACAAGGAGTCCCTAGTACAGCCGAACGACACTGTTCAGACGAGGATCCCAGCACAGCCAAGTTTATCGATAAAAATTAACTCTAGGGGAGGGAAGGCGAGGTGATGACAACAGCACACACTGGCTAGGGGTTCCCTCAGACCACCCCTCCCCACAACCTTGCCCCCCCCCTACCCACAACCTTGCTCCCCCTACCCACAACCTTGCCCCCCCCCACAACCTTGCCCCCTCCCCACAACCTTGCCCCCCCCACAACCTTGCCCCTACCCACAGCCTTGCCCCCCTCCCACTCATTATACTGCTTTACGTTGTAGGAAATACTCGAGGAAATTTTTAGGGAAGGAGATGCTGGTGCTGCTGTTGGTGGTGCTGGTGGGTGACACTAGGTGGTGCTGTAAGTAGGGTGACGTCATAAGCAGAACACGTCTTGTACAGCAGCAAGAGCGAATCAATGACCGAGAAGGAAGGCAATGTGTGTGTGTGTGTGTGTGTGTGTGTGTGTGGTTCTTATTATTAACCCCCTGTATTATCGTGGGGAAAGTTGTTGTGCAGTTTCATGGAAGCAGTGACTTAATACTGCCTACTACAGCTCTGGTTATGTCATTGGTGTACAAACAGAGCCACCATGAAAGGATGTCATGTTACTAATACTACAACACCCAGCGGAAATTTTCACCTCTGTGTTGGAAAATTTGTTCCATGTCTACTGAATCAAATTTGTTCACCTAAAGGACTTATTAACCCTTGAGTACGATGATTTAAGCGATGACTCAAGTTCACCACACATACAAAATTTATCCAGAAACGATTGAAATGTCTGTAATATTTTAAGATTGTATTCAGAAACAGTATTTTTGGGGGCAGTCAGTGACCGTGCACATCACTCCCTCCTGCTGGCAGCGTCAATACTACACTAGGTGGAGAATGCGTTTTCCCTGTTGTTCTTTCCCCTCAATGTTTCTTACAAACGTCGATACCTGCCTCAACCTTTGTGGGAAATTGTGTGTTTTTGTACATAAGTCTGACGGCAGTGTTGATACATTATTAAGCCTTTGGTACACAAGCAGCTGGTGTGGCCGGCATTGCACTCGATCACCTTCACCTTTCCAACTAAACCATCAGGTGCCCATTCACATCTGGGTTAATTGGTAAAAGGCATTTATACGTTATCAGTGCTATTTAATTTTTGGTAGAGGTGTCAGTAACTAAGACCATACTGTACTATGGCAGGAGACGGGCGCCCCTATGGACACACCCAGCCACTGTTAAGACCCGTGTCCCTCACCGTAGGCCCGGGTCACAGCCTCAACTTTTCCCGTTATCTCTGTTCTACGTTGTTCATCTACTTTCTCTTTTCTCTCTCGCCCATTTTCTACTTTCTCGTAAAAGTCAAGATTTATTGCGATATTTTTTGTTTCTCACCCGAGGAGTGAAATTTAGCCGTGGAGACATAAAAGGCGGGAGGAACTATGACTGTTGTGTGTGTGTGTGTGTGTGTGTGTGTGTGTGTGTGTGTGTGTGTGTTAGGTCTGGCAGGAGAGTGACCACGCACGCCCACCACTGGGTCAAGTTACAGTCCTGTTCGGCCTCCCTCACCTCTCTACCTACCTTCTCTACCTACTCCTTCTCTACCTACCCCCTCTCTACCTACCCCCCTCTACCTGCCTCTCCACCTCCTCTCTACTTAACCCCCTGCTTACCCAACACCATCGGGCTCATGACGCACACACACACACACACACACACACAGTATCATTTAACATGACACTGACTGGTGTTGTCGCAGCGCAATCCGACTCGTGGTGGTCGTGTGCGTCAGTCTCTCCCTTGACACTGTGTCCAAGTCCTGCGCCTGGTCTTCTCCTTACACCCCGAACTACACCCCCATCACGACACCCAGGGCACGACACCCAGGGCACGGCACCCAGAGCACGACACCCAGAGCACGGCACCCCGGTCACGACAACTGCAGCACTACACCCAGGGCACGACAATCCTACCACGACAACCCCGGGCACGATACCCAGGGGACGACACCCAGGGCACGACACCCCCGGGAACGATACCCAGGGCACGACACCCGGGGCACGATACCCAGGGCACGACACCCGGGGCACGACACCCGGGGCACGACACCCGGGGCACGACATACCTCACTAGTGACACGGTTGGCTCCCGCTCAGAAACATCTCCCCCCAAGCCTCTACCCAGAAAATTCCTAACACTGTGATTGAGATTTTCCATAGAGACACAACACGTACTGGAGAAGCTACATACACTGATTGAGGCACAGGTATAGTGAAGATACAGAACATTAATATTATACCTAACTTAACCTGTTCCTCTGACTGTAGCATTACATGGATCCTCGCTATACTGTTACTCGCTACTAAGGAACTAATTCAGAATCACCTACGTATCATACAAACAGTGACATTAATGGAATAAGAGACAGATTCATGTAGCTTCATCCATCTACTGCTTAAGGGTTTCCAATACCATTACTACATATTGTTAAGTGTGTTAGAGTCTTGGTACTAGTGGATCGACGTCTGTAAAATGTCCATCGTTTGAAGAATTTATTCGATCTTATGCTCTGGGATAGTGTCTGTTGTTATCCTTACTCTCTCGCAGCATTTACTGTGGTGTATAGGCTGTGTGTGTGTGCTGTGATGGTATCTTTGGTTGATTATGCCTTGCTGTGAGTGCTGTGATGGCATCCTCGAATGATTATAGTTTGCTGTGTGTGTTATGCTTAATCCTGACGAGCAGTTTGTGTGTGGTAGTTATGTACGTGTTAATTATGATGATTATCTACTACTATTGTGAATGACTTACACACATACTTACACATTTACACACACACACACACACCAGGACGAAATATACAAACCAAACTTCCTTATCTAATATAGATCAAAAGATTCAAGTTGTTAACCGAGTCTAGAGAAATCAACACACAGTAGCACCAACCACACAAACTGAACAGACTTAAATAACTCAAGGGAAGAACTGAAAGGGATTTAAATTTGCACGGGAGTTGTTGCCAAGATAAAACGCACAGCAAAGTTTCTGTATCTGGCCGGAGTTGGAGATAAGGGAGAGGAGGGTTCTTGGAGAAGCTCTTTGAAACTTTGTAGTCTGGGAGTATTGTAGTTTGAAGCAGTATGAGTGAAAAGGAAAATTGAAGGACATTGCTTGCTGGGGGTGTAGGAGTGACATGTGAAAGCTGGAAATATATGTGAAAATAAATGAGCGAACTTTGAGACTCAATAGTGAATTTTGAACTCTGAAGTGAAGTGCCGATAGCCAGGAAGCTCAACAGTGCCTCAACAGTGACAGAAAGCTTGACAGTGCCTCAACAGTGCCAGGAATCTCAACAGTGCCTCTATAGTGCCAGGTAGGAGGACACACACACACACACACACACACGATGTTGGGGCGACAGTTGGCAGTTGTCTCTCCTCGTCGGCGTCGCCTCCAAACCTCCTCCCAATTCTTCTCCAAACTCTCCGCCTCGCTCTCCGACATCCCCTCCAGTGTCCTCCTAGGGGGTCAGTCCTCCCCACAGTCTGGAGGATCTGCCGGGAAGAGGAGATGGAGGTGGCCAGTGGGGGAGAAGAGGTACAGCGTGAGGGAGGAGAGGGAGGTGGATGATAAAGACAGAGAAGAAGTGGATAAAGAAGAAGAGAAACGCATAGAAGATGATAACAAAGAGAGAAGAGAAGGAAGAAGATACGAAATTGATGATAGGAAGGGGAAACATGGCGTGTATATAATGGAGAAGAGGTGTATAGAGGGTGACAAGAACGAGAGAAGAGAAGGAACAGGACAGAAGAAGAATGATGATGATGATGGGAATAAGGAAATTGATAATAAAGGAATAACTTGTGATAAAACTACTCCTGTTATTGTTAGACCTTCTAGACCAGGTGAAGAAAATTATGGTTGTCACAATGTCACTCTGTCTGTCTGTCTGTCTGTCTGTCTGTTTGTCTACGAGGAAAATAAATAATAGGTTGACAGATATTCATGAAACTTAATCGATAGGAAGTATTCTTTTTAGTTATCCGAGAAATTATAGTAAAAGTAAAAGGTAAAAATTATACCGTATTGATAACAACTATAATCATGTTATTAATCGTAATAATAATAATAATAATAATAATAATAATAATAATAATAATAATAATAATAATAATAATAATAATAATAATAATAATAATAAAAAATGGTAATATTAATTTTATACTTTTACTCTCTCACACACACACACACACACACACACACACACACACACACACACACACACACACACACACACACACACACACACACACATACTATCTCTATCGATCTATCTTCCCTCCCCCTTCCTCTCCTTCCTCCCCCCTTCCCTCCTTCCCCCTCCTGTCTCCCTCCCTCTACTAATAATCAAGACCAGGTGAGCCCTAGGTGAGCCCTCATTAACGTGTTGTTGTCTCCCCTCCTACAGTGCGGGACAGGACCAGGGTGGGTGTCAGGAGCTCCCTGCCCTTCACCACCATCGGCCTGGGATCACCTCCCTCCTCCGGCGTCTCCTCCGGGTAAGTCCTATTGAAGGTTGTCTATCTATCTGTCTATCTATCTATCTATTTATCTATCTATCTATCTATCTATCTATCTATCTATCTATCTATTTATCTATCTATCTATTTATCTATCTATCTATCTATTTATCTATTTATCTATCTATCTATCTAATCTATCTATCTATCTGTCTATCTATCTATCTAATCATCTATCTATCTATCTGTCTGTCTGTCTGTCTATCTATCTATCTATATATCTATCTATCTATCTATCTATCTATCTATCTATCTATCTAGTTATCGATTGCAAGACAAATGAGTTCGAGTCGTAATGGGTCTTTTTCTTATTTGGTCTAACCTAACCTAACCTAACCTAACCTAACCTAACCTAACCTAACCTAACCTAACCTAACCTAACCTCTATGTTACTTTACCCTTTGCTCTGTATTCTGACGAGGTGCCAGCGTTACATGATACCTGGTCCGGTCACTGGTAACACGAGTAACTGAGCGCTGTGTTACGTCACCACCTGTGTTACTGAGAACCTTATGACACAGCTATGTTAGTAGGTGACAGCGTTATGGTATTGGAATATTGACTAGTTGGCGCTAAAGACAAGATTTCCGTGTTAGTTATTGGTGTTTCAAACTTATTGTCATATTTTTCCGATATCGAAATTATAACCATTTTGATAAAGGTTCAGTTTTTTTCTTATCTTCCTTCCTTCCTTCCTTCCTTCCTTCGTTTCTCTACCACCACTATCTCATTCCTCCATCACCACTAACTTCCTCCATCGTTCCACCAACAAGAGCACTAACTCCCTCCTCCTCCCTCTCACACATCCTCGGACACCTAGAGTCAATCCCTCTCACATCACTCCATCCCTCGCTAACGTCCCCACATTACTTCCATCCGTTTTTCTCCCTCAGCTTCATCCATCCTATGTCCCTTCAACCCATCTATCTCCCTATCCCTCCATCCCTATTTCTTCTATCCTTTCCACGTTCTTTCATCCCCCTTCTTTCCATCCATCTACCCATCCCTCGATCCTACGCTCTTCTAACTCTGACCATAATCCCGTCAGCACCAGAATCACTAACACCTTCCTCCCTCCTGCAGGTCATCGGACACTCAGAGTCAGGGCAGCGGGGTTGGGGAATCCAAGAGCGACTCCCCGACACCCGAAGGCTCCAGGAAGAACGGCGAGGCGTCGTCTGTGTCATCGTCTTCGTCATCTTCTTCCGGAGTTGTGTCCGGCGTGAGTGTCCGCTGCGGCAAGGGTCATGAGCTGCCTGTTACTGCTGGTAAGTGTGTGTGCGTGTGTGTGTGTGTGTGTGTGTGTGTGAGAGAGAGAGAGAGAGAGACCACCATCTTGAGGCCCTTCATTTAACACCTCCTATACCCACAGGAGCTCGTGAATCAGCAGCCCTGCGTCAGGAGGTGGAGACCCTGAGGGCGGAGATCACCAAGGCCCGACAGACTATCCTACACATGCAGGAGAGAGAAAAGAAACTCAAGGAAAGGTCAGTGGAAACTTGACATTCTTAGATTATAATGTAACAGTGTAACTACTATAGAAACAATGACTATGATTTGATTTGAATTTGATTGAGTTGAAGATCAAATTAGCATTACCTTTTTTTGAAATATGTCATTAAAATATCTAAAAGAAATTGTGTTGAGGTTATTAGTTACAATTATGCTGGGTTCCATTATACGGTTGTTGGTCAAAATAGGGATTAAATTTTACTCCAATTCTGCAACTACATCTTGCACCTTCACCATGCAGGTTGGGTGAGCGAGCCTCGAGGGGCATTGAGCGAGGCAGTGGTCGAGTGGAGAATCTGAGCTTGGGAGAACGTCGACCATCTGCCCTAGTACGTCGCTACGGCAACCTGTACGCTCAAGCCCGAGTCGACACCCTTGATGCTCTCGACGCACTCCCTGATCTTAAGAACGCCGAGGAGCTCAAGTCGAAGCTGCTGTTCAGTGTCGTTGTGGTAGGTCATGACTCTTGGCTGTTGGTTCAGTGTAGGAGCTTCTTTACAATTTATGGAGGATTTTCAATGGACATTTATACACACCCCTGCCCCTCCTTCCTAACTGTCATTGTTATTCAGTCGCTCGTGTGAGACTTCTCGGGTGGAAATGATATCTGGTAGGTAGCGTGATGTTGTGAATATTTAAGTCGAGTTTGAATTATAACACTGGGCTGCATTTGAAAAAAAAATTCATGAGGTGCGGGGTTTCTTAGCTGATTCTTTATGTATTTTGCTTGCTGATTCCAAAAATGCCATTCATTTTGCCCAATCAGGTCAGATTTTTATGCTATGGGAATTAGGAAAAAATCGAAATTCTTAAATATGATGTCAAAATTTTTATGCAAAATATATCATAAGAAATGTAACCACAACACATAGGACCAAAATATGTCAACTACATAGATGCCTTTACAGTTAGACATGCATAAATGGCTGTCGCAGAGAATTTCTTTGGTGGTTGGTGTCTGGGGCGTCCCGTTTCAGACACCAACAGTAGTCGGCGAGCATGTTGATATCCCAGCGACCCTGGTACCGCTCCTCCATTACACGGATATCTTGATGGAAGCGTTCTCCTTGTTCCTCACTCACATCACCACAGTTCTCTGGAAAGTAGTCCAAGTGGGAGCTGAGGAAGTGCATCTTGATGGACATGCGTGCACCAAGAACTTTGTAGCTCAGAAGTAGGTCCTCAACAACTCGTTCATACTCTGGACTTCTGTAGTTGCCAAGAAAATTGGAGACAATAGACTTAAAGGCATGCCAGGCTTTCTTCTCATTTACATCCATGCTGCAATCAAACTTGGGATCTTTGAAAAGTTCTCTGATCTGAGGGCCATCAGAAATTCCTGCATTCAGCTTTGCCTCACTGACTTTTGGAAATTTTTCTTTCAGAAAATTGAAAGCCTGGCTTTTTTTGTCCAGTGCCTTTACAAAGTTTTTGAACAGACCGAGCTTGATGTGCAGTGACGGAAGAAGAATGTTCTGCAGATTCACCAGAGCATGGGCAACAACATTGTGAGAACCTGGAGTAAGTCCACTTCTTGCAGGCCAGTCACGTTGCATGTAGTGCTGCTTGTCTGCTCGACTATCCCACAGACAGAGGAAACATGCCATGTACCACCAGATGAAAATGAAATTTAATTGTGAAAAAATATATGTAAAAAAACACGGACATATACTCTTTTCCTTTGCGTCACGGCGGACATTTAAATGGCCGGCGAGCACGTGGGTGTATTTAAATGCATCGTAAGGGCATTAAAACTGACCGAAATCTTTTCTGTGAGGCTTGCCAATGTCTCGGATGATTTTTTTAATGAACGAATATGAGAACCCCCATTTTGAGCGAAAAATGCCAATATTTTACCTGAATCTCCGCTTAAAATGCTATAGCACAAAATTCTGACCTGATTGAGCAAAATGGATAACATTTTTGAGATCAGCATGCAAAATACACCCAGAAAAGCTTAATAATACACAAACCTCAAAAACTATGCAGGGCAGTGTAATCAATGTCTTCTATCATCAAATACCAGAGTTATGAGTCGTGTTTATGAAGTCATTAGGGGAGGTCGTTATCTTATATTGAAATCTTATGCTATTTTGTTTTAATTTAATAAGATTAGAGAGATAAGGACAAACCTGTTTATAATAGTATGTCTTGAGTAGATTGTTATTTGTACGGGGAAATGTGTTTGATGCAAAAGTCTTCTTGCAATGACTAATTTGGTTAATGAGCTTTTTTATATAATGGGATATTATTTTACAAGAAGAATATAATTTGAATGACGTTTTTTGGTACAGGAAATTTGTTGCAATGTACGGAGATTAGACGACCAGTATGCAGGCCAGATTTTTTTTTTACTGCAGCATTGCTAAGAAGAATCGGTTTAGTTTTTAGGCTGCTGTTCACACACACACACACACACACACACACACACACACACACACACACACATATTAACACTCACCTGGCGTGCCTCCATCCTGTGCGAGGTGCTCCTTAAGAAGCTTATAACTGCAGATTAAGAAATAGAAACCCGTATAGGGATGTGAATCTTTCTACCAAAACACACCTGAGGCACAGTACTCCTCCTGGGTTACCTCACCTGGATTGTCCGACACAGCTGGCTACACCATTATCTCACCTCTGTCTCTGTCCACAGCTGGCCTTCCGATCAGCGGCGTCATCAGCTCAAGCTCTACGTGAGGAAGTACGTCGGGTCCTCCAAATTCCTCCACCTCCTCCCCCATCAGGAGACGTCTCTAGCCACGACCATCACCACCACCCCCACTCCTACGACAGTCACTCCCACGCCCTCGAGCTGTCCGTTTCAGCCTTCGTCACTGCCAACATTGACAAACATGATCTGTCCAAGAACATGGATGTAAGTGTTCCCCAGGGCGGGGTGTTGGGTGGCTCTCTGTTTTGTGTTCTGGTCTTCTCTCCCTTTTTGTGTCTACACCCTTCTCTCTGTTTCTTCACCCTTCTCTCTGTTTCTTCACCCTTCTCTCTGTTTCTTCACCCCTTCTATCTGTTTTCTCTTCTCTCATTTTTGCTCTCGCTTCTTATTTTCATTTTCCTCTTTTATTTTTTATTACCGCCTCCAGTGACAAAATTAGCAGAGCTTATCTTTGTCGTCATGGAGGCAACCTATCACTGAGCCTCACTCAAGTACTTCGAGCAGATAGATAGATAGATAGATAGCTAGATAGATAGTTAGATAGATAGATAGATAGATAGAGAGATAGTTAGATAGATAGATAGATAGATAGATAGATAGATAGATAGATAGATAGACAGGTACAGTATATCAACCCATAACCATTGAATTTCTCCAAACTTATTGACTTTATCTGTCCTCTTGGTAGCTGACCTCTTGCTGTTGTTCTGTGTCGTGGAATATCAACTTTTCTCCCTCCCTCCCTCCTTTCCCATCTTCCACCTTCCCACTCTTCCATCCTCTCTTTCTCTCTCTCCCCTCTCCCATTCACCCAGTTTTCACAGGATTATGCCAAAGGATTGACAAAGATCAAGTGACAAGGGATAGAAAGAGAGGGATTTCAACACTCGTTTTCTTTTCTCTTCCTCACAAAGGACATGTCAGCAAACAGACAGAGAGATAAATAGAAAAGAGACAGATTCTAACTCTTTTTCTCTCTCTCTCTCTCTCTCAACAGGAAGTATGTCAACAAATCTGGGCGACACTGTACGACTATCCGGCTCTCAAGTCCTGCGACGGTCTCCTGCAGTACGTTAAGGATTGCGTGCGTCTCGCCTGGGGGCTCAACAACCAGACGCCGCCTTATGTCATCGACTACGACACCCGCACCTACAAGAAGGAAGCCCACGTACGTTTCCACACGGCCGATCCTGATAGCGATAGTATCAAGACCTACCTGTGGCCGGCGCTGCTGGAGGGGCCCGGTGGTCCTTGTGTACAGAAGGGCGTCGTGGTTACGTAGGGAGGGAAGCGACTCATTCACTCCTGGGCCTCCCCTGTGTTGTTTGGCGAGGTGGACCAGCGTATAGGGTAAATGAAGGTTCTTGTTGTTGTTACTAGCAGTAGTAGTAGTTGTAGTAGTAGGAATAGTAATTAATAAAGATAAGAATAATGAAAGGATGATGAAAAAAATGTTTAAAAGAAAACAGTTTTATAAATCATATTATATTCATGAATTTCCCTGTACTTGTGACCTTGTTTGACCTTTGACCTGACCCCCTTTCCTTCCCCTACAGGAGTCTCCAGCATAGTGACCTACTCACCCACCCACCAGCCTCCTGTACATAGCTACAGTTGTACATATGTTCCTGTACCACTGGGGTACTTTATCTCCCTCCCGAGCCTTCGTAGGGATCATGTATCAAAGATGTATATTGTGTTCATCTATAATCTACAAGAACATTGTCTCATGTATTGACAGATGTATTATACTAACTGATGGTTCTTGTAATGTATTTAGCTGGGATAACTAAAACAGTTTCAATTAGTTTTCCTGAAGCCACTTTATTTTACTGTATTTTATTGTATTCTGTAAAGGGAATATCGGTATTACGTGAATTCTAATATAAACGTTTGGACTAGTAGGTGTCTATACTTATAACGTTACACTGTTGGGAGATTTAGACCATGTGTCAGTGTACAAGAAAAGTCTTAACACTGACGAGATTAGTTACAACTGGTTAATTTGTAATTTTATTTAAGATAGTTTCGGGAAAATATATTTGAAAATATTCTTCCTCTCGTACATGTTGGTAAGGTAAGGTTCCACAGGCGGGTTATAAGAGGATCATACCTTGGATTATCTCCCTAATTGGAGGTGTGTGTACGCCACTAGATGTCAAAGACGGGAAAAATTGTCGTCAAATTTACACCGAGTGTCCCACAGTTACGTTCTAATAAAAGGATGAAAATCTTAGCAAGGGAATCTTTCATAATCTTGACTGTGGTCTTACCATCTTACGAGGAGGAGTTAGTTACGAGTACAAATTGACCAAATCTTGGGTGAAATAACTCTTTTTCTTTATAATTAATGACTATAAAACACCTTGACCTGTACATAGTAAAAACTCTGTATAAATGTTATTATTATTATACACATAAGGGTAACAGTTTACATATATAATATTATTGTAATATTATTTTATCTTTTTGGATAATGTTAATGTCTTAATATTAACTTGAGGAGAACTGTGGGTTAAATATCGAGAAGCTTGGTCTCCTGTGTGAGTGAATGTGTGTATCAGCGTTTATCAGCATATTCTGAGTGAATATACGAACTCTAAGCGCTGGTGTTGGTGAGGGCGCTACTACAGATGTTTCCGAGGAGAGCCTGACTTAAACTGCTTCACAAAATACTTGATCTGGGGAGGCGTGGGCTTGGTTGTTCAAGATTGGTCTCAGATTGAGGTGTGGGGGATAAAAAGATCTCCCTAAACATTAGGTAAAAGCCAGGTGTAAAACGGAGATACACAACAAGCCAGTGTTATACCTGTAGCCTCCAGCAGGTGTGGTGACCCAGGGTGAGAATGGAGTGCCTTACTCTGTGCCTTCCGTCGACCTTAACGCCCCCTCCAACCTTGCCTTGGCCACGGGATGGAATTTTCGTTTCGTGGAAGGTAAATAAAACAATTTTTATAATAGCCATAAAACGCCAGATCCAGTGCCTCAATCTCTACCCTTTATCCTGATGCAGAGGTGACAGTGATCCTCTGTATAAAATGTTGTGTATGACGACGTGAGTGTATTACCCTCCTTGTGTATGACTCGTGATAGTGAGTGCCTTGTATCTGATAAAGGTTTATTGTACCGGCCATAAAATATTATTGTGCCTTATACAGTAGTTATACACCTGATTAGATGTATAAACTTACCCTTATGCTCTCACCAGTGGATTATTGGAGTATACGTCAACTTCCTCTTATCTTGTATCAGGTAGATTGTATAGTTGTACGCTAGTTCTTCTTGACTTTATTCATTAGGTTATATACATTTGGTTCTTCATCTGTGATCAATACTTTACTGTCTTAGTTATTTATTCATTTTCTTATTTAATGACACGTTCCCATAGCTTTAATGTGAGCCTGTGTAATAGTCTTAATAGCTGGATAGTTTTATTCATTTTTGCAATTATCACAACAACATATACAGTATATATATATATATATATATATATATATATATATATATATATATATATATATATATATATATATATATATATATATATATATATATTTATATATGTATTTCTCATGTATTTTTCACTTGCTGTCAGTTTTGACTTTGAGTTTTGTTATCACGATCTATGGAAAGGGAATTTATCTATGTTAAGAGGAAAAATAATGTATGCATGTATGTACTTGTAAGTTACATGTACCCCAGTGTCATAATTCTCCCACACTATAGCGAAAAGATGTTGTGTGAGTGTATGTGTGTGTGTGTGTGTGTGTGTGTGTGTGTGTGTGTGTGTGTAATGTTGCAAAATTGAATGAAGCGTATTTCTTACCCGGGAGAATTTTTGCCTATTAATGTCTCATCCTTTCTATTCAGGTGAGATCTGTAATACTGTACATTAGTCCTCGTATAATACTTTTGTACTTATGGCTGCTGCAAGTATCAGACAGTATACAGCACTTGAGCCTGAAAATATTGACTTATAAAGATGAGAAAAAAAGCACACGTATATATAAATAGGAGTCAATACGAATCCCATATAAGTGTGTGATGTCTGTGGTATTTTGTATATGGTGTGTCTATAATTATTTTTGTTGTAAATTTTTATTTGATATCAATAAAGGAATATAACGTATGAAAAAGACTTTTATTTCTGTCCCTATTGTTTACTAGTTAAAGAAATGTTTGATATTTTAAATTGGCATCATGTAAAATAAATTTAACATGATTGACTTTTAGACAAACAAACAGTTATACACAAATAGATACAACACAAACAAAAAAGACAGATAAATAAAAACGGAAATAGACAGACAGACAGACACCTTTTGAACTGTAAAACACTTATGTTCGACTATAACTGTACAGCAAAAGGCGAGGTAACCTGCTCGGCGTTGTATTGAGAACTCGATGAGGAGTCTCGGTGTACTTATTACTTAACATGTACTGTATTATTTTTCTTAGATTGTCAGTATTACTTATTGACTCTGTGAAAGAATATATTTTATGTATAGTTGTGTGTAAACAGACAAAGAAAAGTAAACACGAAAGGCTTTGTAAAGCTGTAACATTATCACTATTATACAAGCATATAACTGAACTGCCCTCCACTCACGCACAAAAGGCAGCGAGTAACAACGAATATCTAATAAGGAATTAAAATTCTCCCCATTGCATTTGTACCGAATATTTAATTATAATCAATATTTTAAACCTAAACTATCGATAGCGAAATAATTATTCTGAAGATTCAAACAGATGTAAACAAAGGACGATAACTGATCATAGTAACGCCATCTTACGCTTGAGTCAACAACTAAAATACATGCCAGGTACCGCTATTAGGATTAATTGCCATCACACCATTCTTGGGGAGGTTACTCTTCTTTATTAGATATTAAGACTGATGACTGATGAGTTATGTCACGTGTTCATTAATGCTGAAGTCAGTGTTTGTCCGTCGTCTGTGTGCTACTCTGACACTTCGTCTCTCCTTCCCAGAAAATTGAAACGAAAAGGGTATAGTGGAGGCATTATGTGGAGATGGTAGTGAGGAACACATCAGATAATGACAGTGATGGTGTTGTGAGTTTATTTGTTAGTGATGATGTGTGACAATGACGGAAGTGAGGACAGGAATGGAGACCAAAATGGCCAGCCGACGGCCACACCACATTGTGTCGAGTGAAAAGGTAATTATTTACGCGACTTCACAGCCGCTGATTTTTCATAAAAAAACTAATTTAAAAAGCCGCAATTTCACTGTTCTATAGTGGACACTCGTAGTTATAGCAAATGCGTTAAAATGTGTTATTTAAAAGTTCAAGTTTACGTAAACTGACCGTAATTTGGGATCTGATGTTCGCAGAAGTTAGATATCAAAGCATAAAATAAATGGTAAGATTTATATTACGTAAAGCATACTGCACGTGCGCTAAATTGTTGTCATGAGGTAAAAAAGCCTTTATGTACTATGGAGAACTTTCATGCAGTAGGCTAGGTAGTTAAGGCCTGCAATTCATCTGGACTATTATCACAGATTTCTACAAAAGCAAACACTGTGGAGGTACGAGCAATATACATTACTGAAGAGAGAAAACAAAACGTTAATTAGGAGAAAAAATAAAAATGACTAAGAGACTTTTCCGCACTTCCCAGTAACGATCGTCTTTAACGACTCCTTTACGTGATTGTGGTGTTTACACTTAATTTTACTCCTTATAAAATGTTTATTATTATCTGTTGCGTTATATGTTTGGTGTCATTTGTCTGTATTTACATAATAATTGGTGAAAAGGAAAGTAATAGCAAATGTGTTCTCCAAAAGTGTGAATTGGTTTGTGAAGTCGACAGTAAATATTCTTTATTTAAAACTTTTTCAAATCATCTTTAAAGTTTGTTTTCAAGCAGTTATATCCTTACAGACATTAAATTCAGCATTAAAGTGAGCCAGAATTGGTTATAATTAACGGTTTTATATGGTTTTGTAATATGTCTGTGATAATCGAATATTATGTATGAGCTGATGAGCTGCACTTGAGGAGGGGGTAGTGCCGCTATCGGAAAAAAACTAATGTTAATTTTTTTTTCAGGTGCACCCATGGAAAAAAAAAGTATTCGTCCAGATGAGGTGCACAGTGAAGAGTGATCGATGAGTGAGGATTCCTGTGTTCTGTCAGTAAAAGGAACAGATCATATATGGAATTCTAGAAGATGGAACACATCAGTCATGGCATGCTGGTAGGTCATACAGTATTAAGCTTAGGTTAAGTTAGGGTAAAATTTTAGTTTTGGTCATCCCATTTTTAACCTAACCTAACAAATTCCCGGTTGACCGAAACTAAAATATGACCTAAGTTAGATATGATTAGGTAGGGATAGTATAGGAAAGGTCATGTTATAAAATAAGTTATGGTAAAGATGGAGGAGACGGTTAGCACCAGAAGGACTTTATGGAATTACACCAAATTTTCAGATGTTGTTTGGATGATAGTAAGAAAATAGAAACGACAATGCACAGGTTAGGTAAGGTTAGGTAGGTTATGTCAGCTTCTAATTGATTTTGTGTATTCTCGCTCCCATTTTTGTGTTCAGTATCATGCAAATAGTATCTCCAGAAATTTTGATTCAATTCCATAATTTATTTCTGGTGCTGTCTCCTCCACTTTTACCGAAGTTATTCTCATTTTTGTAATTATCAATTTATTGTTTTTTTATTTTAATTGAAAGTTATTTGTTTTATTTATATTTTTTCAGCCAATAACTAGTAATTTTCTATTCAAATCATTATACAATTTAATACCTTGAGTTAGAATTAATTGTCATGTTTATACTGACCAATTTTTTTTTCCTAAATAATAATTGCCAGGCACAATCTGTTGTCCAGATTCTTTAAAATGAAGCTGGCTTATATTCTTTTATTTCTAATTGTTCTCTCCTCTTGTCGTGAAGATTTTTTTGTTGAGCTTGTCCTAACTGCCGCCACATTATTAATCTGAACCACTGTGGGTGTTGATTTGAATTGAATTGAATTGAAACAGCTTATTTAGCCAGAAAAACACAGATACAGAGTGGATAATAATAACAATATTAACATGGCTGAGCCAGTTGAGAACCTGAGCTCTCTTGTAGGCACCTGATATATACCGGTCCAACGAATTACCCAAAAGTACTCAAAAGTATATTAAATCAGGGTAAAATCTTAACGAATATCTGTTTTACATCAATAAAACCTGATTAATA